ATTCCATGGTATATATGTGCTACATTTTCTTATCCAGTCTAGCACTGATGGGCATTTGGGTTGGTTCCAAGTCTTTGCTATTGTGAACAGTGCCTCCATAAACATACGTGTGCATGTGTCTTTATAGCAGAATGATTTATAATACTTTGGGTATATACCCAGTAATGGGATTACTGGGTCAAATGGTATTTCTGGTTCTAGATTTTTGAGGAAGCGCCACACTGTGTTCCACAATGGTTGAACTAATTTACAGTCCCACCAATAGTGTAAACACATTCCTATTTCTCCACATCCTCTCCAGCATCTGTTGTTTCCTGACCTTTTAATAATCACCATTCTAACTGGTATGAGATAGTATCTCATTGTGGTTATGACTTGCATTTCTCTAATGACCAGTGGTGATAAGCTTTTTTCATGTTTGTTGGCTGCATAAATATCTTCTTTTGAAAAGTATCTGTTCATATCCTTTGCCCACTTTTGGTGGGGTTGTTTTCTTCTTGTAAATTTGTTTAAATTCCTTGTAGAGTCTGGATATTAGCCTTTTGTCAGATGTATAGATTGCAAAAATCATCTCCCATTCTGTAGGTTGCCTGTTCACTCTGATGATAGGTTATTCTGCTGTGCAGAAGCGCTTTAGTTTAATTAGATCCCATTTGTCAGTTTTGGCTTTTGTTGTGATTGTTTTCGGTGTTTCAACGTCATGAAGTCTTTGACCATGCCTATTGTCCTGAATGGTACTGCCTAGGTTTTCTTCTAGAGTTTTCATCGTTTTAGGCTTTTAAGTATTCAAACCACCTTGAGTTAATTTTTATATAAGGTGTAAGGAAGGGGTCCAGTTTCAGTCTTCTGCATACGGTTAGCCAGTTTTCCCAGCACCATTTATTAAATAAGGAATCCTTTCCCCACTGCTTGTTTTTTGTTAGGTTTGCTGAAGATCAGGTGGTTACAGATATATGGTGTTATTTTTGAGGACCCTGTTCTGTTCCATTACTCTATATATCTGTTTTGGTACCAGTGCCATGCTGTTTTGGTCACTGGAACCTTGGAACATAGCTTGAAATCAGGTAGTGTGAGCATCCTACATTACAAAGTATCCAGTTGCTTAACTAATCACTGGATAAGACACATATCTTTTAAGAAACCTTTTTTTTTCTTCCCAAAAATAATAAGGTGTAGAGAATTAGAAATGAGAAAGGCCAGGTGTGGTGCTTCATGCCTATAATCCCAGCACTTTGGGAGGCCGAGGCAGGAGAATTATGAAGTCAAGAGATCAAGACCATCCTGCCCAACATGGTGAAAGCCAGTCTCTACTAAAATACAAAAAATTAGCCAGGCATGGTGGTGTGCGCCTGTTGTCCCAGTTACTTGAGAGGCTGAGGCAGCTTGAAACTGGTAGGCAGAGGTTGCAGTGAGCCAAGATTGTGACACTGCATTCCAGCCTAATGACAGAGCAAGACTCCATATCAAAAAACAAACAAACAAAAAAAGAAATAAGAAAGCACAATTTTTTAAAAAAACACACAAAAAAGAAATTACATTCTCACCATCCAGGTAATATCATTACTAATACCTTAGTGCATATCCCATTGGAAAAATACACAGATGTAAATATAGACAGCTAAATGATCATAATGTACATACTGCCTTATAACCTGCTTTATTCAGTCAACAATCTCTCCTTTCCATTTTAGTAAATTTCCATCTCCTCTAATATACAAGCCATATTCAAATTTCCCCAACTAATCCAAAATGTCCTTTATAGCTGATCTGTCCAAATCAATATATAATTTAGTTTCACATCGTTATCTATTTGTCCTCTACATTTCTTTTAACGTAGCACCGTCACCTTCGCCCACCATCTTTTTAGGACACTAAGAAGCTAAAGAGATCTCACTAATTTTCCTACTGAATATCCAACTTCTGAATTTGTCTTCCTCTCATTCTTTTATCACCACATAATGTATGACCCCTTAAGGTTAAAACTCTGGGAATGAATTGAAAGTCTGTGGAGGAAATGAACATTTTCCCAGTCTTACACCTTATTCCAACATAAATTTTCTTCTTAAGATAAATAACAACCAGCTCAAAAGGAAAAGCCTTTCACTCAGTAGATGCTGAGGGTTCATTTATACCCATACAACACCATAACATAAAGCCAGCCAATTCAGAAGCCTGGCTTATGTACAGAGTCCTGAGTAAACAACTAAGAGTCATTATAAACCTGAAGAAATACTCCAAAAGAAAAAGAAATCAAAATAAGCATAAAGAAAAAAATGATCATTTAAAAAGAGAAAGAATGCAGGGAATCAAAGAATTCTCAACAAGAATAAACAGAAATTCTCTACTTAACATAGTTCTTCAAAAAAAGTTGAATAATATGAATAAGGAATAGTTCTTAGAAATTGAAAATATGATTGCCAAGATAAAGAGTTAAATAAAAATAGAGAACTGGAATATCAAGTTGAGAAAATATACCAGGAAACATAACCAAACCCAAATAAAAAGAAAAACATATAAGAAAAAATAAAAAGATGAAGAGATTCAATTCAGAAGTTCTAGTTTCTGATTACTAAAGATTTCAGAAAGATAACAGAGAAAACAGGGGAGAGAGAATAATCATAGCAACAACAACAAAATTTCACACTACATTAATCTCCAAAGAGCCTACTAACTGCCAAAACATCAGGTGGAAAACAACCAACCAACTAAAACAAAACTCAAATCCAAGGACATCACTGTGAAACTTCAGAATGCTAGAAATAAGAGATTTAAAATATCCCAGAGATAAGAACAGCCAAAACACAATGTACAATGGACCAGAATGCAGTCGACCTTCCAATGGCTAAATGAGATCCTAGAAAAGCAATATCCTCAAATTTCTAAGGGAAAACTCTCTTCTGTGACAACCAAACTATTTCATACCAACCAAACTTATTAATATCAATCAAATGTGAGACCAGAATAAAGAGATTTTCAGTAATGAAGTAACTTAAAAAGTGTGCCATTCATTAATCCTCTCTTAGAAGTAAATATATGTTCCAGCAAAGTGAGAGAATAAACTAGGAAGAAAGAAGACATGCTATCCAGGAAAGAATGTATCCAATCCCAGATTATGGGGGGAAAAAAAAAAAAAATTCCAGACTATGTCCCTCCATGACGGCTCTGGAGAAGCTTTGGACAGTAACCTGTTCAGATGAGAATGGGTGGACTGAGGTGGAGAGGGGGCCAGAAATACTGTTTTTTTAATTAAGCCTTTAAATAGTGTATAAATTTTTTTTGAAGACTATGTATATGTATCACATTGATTTTTTAAATTCAGTAAAATCAGAAACAAATTTAAAGAGGCAAGACATAAAATTTTGAACTCAGTCACCTTTAAAGCATTTGGGAAACTTTAAAGATGACCTAAAAAGATGTTGCAATTTTCTTCTCATAATTTTGTTGTCATTACATAAACAAAAAATAAAATCAATTTTATGAGTGTGTAGTACCTAAGATTTCAGAGGCCACAATAACAGAAAAAAGTCATTAAGAGATTTACTACTTTATATAAAGAACCTCAAAAAAACACTTTTTAACTCCTATGGTACCAATCATTGGTTACCAATTCACCTATTACCGCCTGAATTATGCTACTTCTTTCATTATTAGAGGTGGGTTGGTCTTATTAGCTAATCATGCTTCATGATTCAGGACAGTACACTCAAACACAAAAGCTGGTACATGGTATAGCTAGTACAATGATTGGTTCACAGTGGATATCTGACATATTTTACCTATTTCCAACTATTCCCTACCACCTCTTCCCTTTGACACTACAACTCCTAATCAAAAAATCATCTCCCCAGACCAGCCAGCAGAAAAACACTATATACCAATGCCTATTTTCTAGTTACAGTTAAACTAGTCTGTAAGCTCAATGTCTGGATAATTCAATCATATAATCTATTTCTACCTCAAGAGAAGTCAAACATTCCCAGATGCAAAAAGATTCTCCACACTTTTGTTCTTTAGCACAGAAAAGTTTCTTTTTAAAAAAGTAGTCATATATCCACAAGATTGGAGAATAGTACAGAAAATCCATAACTGAGTAAAAGAAAACAATTTACCTGACTTTAACAGAATATTTACATTCACCATCATTTCTAACACAGGAGCCAAATTTCAGTTCAACTAGCCTTTCGTGTGCATATATCATGTGTTTGGTTTTGATGGCCACCAGGAATTATAAGACAGAAAGCAAACTGAGCAGCAAAGTCAGGCTGTTCTTTCTCAACTGTAGTTTTAAGCTAATGTTGGCTATTGTACGAAGTATAAATATAGATTTAAAACCAAACAAAAGGTATCTATAACTTAAAATTAGTGTTTTATTCCTTGATTTTCTGCTATACATCTGACCTTGTCTCTAAGTGCTAAATGCTTAAACAAAGTAAGTGCTACTGAATCAGATGCCAGGTTCCAATATCAGCTTATCCTGTGACTTTGGACAAGTGACATCACTGCTATGAGTCTAGACTTTCTCAAAACAAAACAAAACAAAAGGCTGGAGAATATTAAACTTGAAGGTTCCAAACAAAAACTAAATTATATGATTATATAGGCAAAAATCGTTTCTTATTTGCCACTTAGCTCAAATCAGAGTAGCAGCCACTGAATACTGAATGCCTACTATGTTTCAGGAATTGGATTGGCCAATTTACAACTACTATTTCTAATTCTATCAACAACCTTACAATGTAGGTATTATGGAAATGAAGAAACAGAAGCAGAGATTGGCTTACCAAATATTATACAACTCATAAATGCCAGGGGCTGTGTAATGAGACTATGATGCAATATTCCACAGGTTTTTTCCACAAAACTTTCTGTTATGTACTATATACAAGCACTACTGTACAGAAATCTAAAAAGACATTAGTAACCCAAGTAACTATTTTTAAAAAGTAAATCCATTTTATAATTCAAAATATCAGAGCTAGAAATGCTCATTATGTACTCACCTGATGCAGGAGACGTTTGAGTTTGAGTAACTGAGTTTTTACAGCAGTGCAATCCTGAACCATGTGTCGAAGGGTCATCTCATCCAGTATCACTGTATTTTCCGGTACATCAACAAACATCTTCTGAGCCTGGAAAAAGGGCATCCCTCCATAGCTTTCAAAATGACCCAAAGGAGATTCTCTATAGGGAGAGCCTCTGGAAGGGCAGGGAAGAAGGTGGAGGGAAAACATATGCAATATAATTTCAGAAATAAATAAATAATGAAATTATTGCAGTGATTATTACAAATCATTTACCATTATCATCAAGCCTCTAACTTGTACTCATCTCAGTCACTAAATGTGAGTACACAGTTTCCACAAAAGGCGTAATCTGCTCTAGTTCATTAAAACAATTATCTTCTATATCCCCCATCCTTTTTGTATTTTACACATTAGATGAATAAACCTTCTTTAGGAACCCGGATAGAAACAAAATACTCTGAAAAGACCTCATCTGAAAAAATTTTATTCTTCCTTTTCTGCACTGACTGTTGTTCATTAGTTTTTGACTTTGACCTCTTAAATTGTACACTTTTTTTTAGCCCCATAACGATGCTATCAACATTAACTCTCAGTTTGTACACATCCTTGTATTCCCATTTCTTCAGAGTCCCAACAGGCAGTTAAGACAGTTTTTTTATTTTTTATTTTATATTATTGATAAAGCGTGTTTTCCAACAAAGTTTAAATAAGCTTTGATAAAGGTTTTCTATACACAACATATTTCCTAATCTTACAGTGCATTAAAAAAATCTACTCTCAGTGAAAGCCCGCCTCTATTAAAAATACAAAAATTAGCCGGGCCTGGTGTCACACGCCTGTAATTCCAACTACTCCAGAGGCTGAGGCAGGAGAATCCCTTGAACCCATGAGGCAGAGGTTGCAGTAAGCTGAGATCACACGGCTACACTCCAGCCTTGGTGACAGTGTGAGACTCTGTATCAACGACAAAAAAAAAAACTACTCCAAAAATTGTTACATTTCCCTTCGGATTCATACAATAACATACATGCTGAATAAGAAAAAAATTAAAAGTAATGTGTTTCATAGGAGTAAAAACTAAATATTTTAACCAGAAGTCATAGTTATAGCAATTTAAAAATTGCTACCTTAATTCCAGTTGGTTCTTAAATTGTAATGAGAACTTTTTTTTTTTCTTTCTAAGATGGAGTCTTACTTTGTCGCCCAGGCTGGAGTACAATGGCACAATCTGGCTCACTGCAACCTCTGCCTCCTGGGTTCAAGCAATTCTCCTGCCTCAGCCTCCTGAATAGCTGGGCTTATAGGCACCAGCTAATTTTTGTATTTTTTTAGAGACAGGGTTTCACCCTGTTGGCCAAGCTGGTCTTGAACTGCTGACCTCAGGTGATCCATCCCCCTCAGCCTCCCAAAGTGCTGGGATTACAATGTGAGCCACTGCACCCGGCCAAGAATTTCTAATATATGTGAAATTGTTCTCATTCTCTCTCTCTCCCTCTCCCTCTTCCTCTCCCTCTCTCTCTCTCTCTCTCTCTGTGTGTGTGTGTGTGTCTGCGTGTGCGTGTGTGTGTGTAGTCCGCTAGTTAGCTAGTAAGTAGAGACAGGGGTTGCCCAGGTTGGTCTTGAACTTCTAGCAAAATGTCAATAAATAAGACAGTGAAAAAATATTATCTCCAATATAATGGCTATTTTAACATCAAGATTAAAGTTAAATTCATCACGTATTAAATATGCAAAAATCCCAATGCATTAAATTTCAACCATATTGAAAACAGAAATATGGTTTCTACCAAATTTTCTAGCTTTTGACAAATATTTCCGAATCTCTGAATTCTCGAATATTCAAAATGAGGTCAATTTTCACAAGATTATTTTTCTCTGAAACTAATTCTCATAAATTCTCATAAGTACTTCAGGCCTGACTTTCTTTTAACCCAAGAAAAAGATTTTTAGAAATGTTTAAACTGTTGCTCTTGAATCCTATTTATTTTTCAACTTTTTCCCTCACCACACGTGCCTCCCTCAGAGTGGCTTCTTAATTCACAGCTAATTAACTGAGATCCCAAAAGTATGCTAAACTCTCATCTCCAAACCACAACCTCTGGGGAGTCTTTGCCAGTCTCTCCATTCTGCCCTCCACTGCACACTCGGTCTAGATAATTCCTCTTCATCTTAAATTAGTTGACACTACTTCAGAGAACACTTCCCTAAATCCCTAAAGGCAGTATTTGGCACTTCCAAAGCTGTTTTTATAGAGACCTGTATACTGTGACCCATTATAGTATTTATTACAATATATATATTTTTGCAATTCAGGCCAAATTATAAACTCCATGAAGGAATTAACTGTGTACTGCATCTGAGTTTTGGTTTTTTAGTTTACTTTATTCAGGGTTTTTTTCGTTTGTTTTTTTTTGTTTTTGTTTTTGTTTTTTGGTTTTTGGTTTTTTGATTTTGTACTGAATGGGTAAGGAACATGTATTTTAACCACTAGAATTTTTTTTAAAGCTTATATCTCCAAGATTCTAAAATTTTGTAGCTGTCGCATGACAAAAGCACTGCTTTAGAATTATAATCTGAATAGTTAATACTCAAGTTAAAATGTACTTCTTATTTTGCCAAGTGAGAGACAGGTATGAATCAGATACGGAATATGGACACATATTAAGCTGACATAAAGGTGATCCAAATGCATGGAACTAATACATTTAAAATGTTTTAGGAAGAGTCAACAAGTCTTTGTTCACCAACTTAAAGAACTGACATCTAGAAAAACCACAACAGCCAGCTCTCACCTCAGATTTAGGTTTAAATCCTATCTGACAGTAACTAGCTATTGAAAATATTTATTCCATAGTTTCTTTAACTCTCAATGTTCTCTACTGCCCACTGGACAAATTTATATCCTTTGGGTTGCATTTCAAATACCTTCATCATGAGATTCAAAATTAAACCTGTATTTATTCCTAGTACTGAAATGCTGCTTTCTTCAGAAACCCCTTCCTGATCCCTTCAACTAGATAAAACTATCATTTTATGATCTTTAATTTCTTTCACAGCATAAACTAAAGAAACCTATATACTTATCAACTCTAATTGGATTGTAAGCCCTTCGGAAAAAAAAGAGTCACATCTTATTCATTTTAATGTTACCTGCATAGATCATTTGAGTTCAAATTCAGTTGCCACTTACTAGCTACACAACACACAGGGCAAGTTACTGAATCCCTCTATGCTTCATTTTCTAGTCTATAAAATGGGCATAATAACAATACTTATCTGCTTAGATTAGTATAAGATTTAAATGAGATAATACACCTTAAAGTACTTGGAGTAGTACATAATATACAGTAAATATTAAATAACTTACTATCATATTATCAATAGTTTCCAACCTCTTTATCTTGAAATATTTCTTCAAATAGAAGTATCAAAAGAATACTATAATGAACAACAATATACTCTTCACCTATATTTACCAACTGTTAAAATATTAACACATTTGCTTTGCCTCCATGTATATGTTACTAAACCATCTGACAGTAAGTTAAAAGGGACATAAAATCCCACTGGGAGGAAAAGTTTTCTGGGGGGAAAAATGAATATAACTGAGAAATCTAAGAGACAGAAAGAAGCAAAGATGAAACAGAAAGGAAAAACATAACAGGCATTACTTTCAGAAAATTAAAAGGAGATTGTGAAGATAGGAGGGAGAAGGAACACAGGACAGAAAGATAATGAAGATATTAATATCAGAATTGAGATTTCAGATTCTGAGGTGATGATGCTGTTCCCACATAAGAAAATAAATTTTAGAATAGGAGGTAAAATCACTTTTAAAGACTAAAGACACAAATCTAGCAGCAAATGTGTAAGAAGGGCAATAAAAAATAAGAGATGAAGGGAGAATTACTGACCGTAATATCCCACATTAAGTTGACAGGGATAAATTTGTACTTCTATATAAATTTTAACATTCATGAATTTCTAACAGAAAACTCTGGCAGTGAAAGCAACAAGAAGACTGCAAAGTTGTTGTGGCATGAACACACTAGAATGCTAGCCAGGTGTCAGTGAAGTGAGGTCTTATGTGGACAATCATAGCCCAGACAAGCAAGTAAATATGAAGAAATGAACCCTTAGAGATATGGGCAAAGGCAAAAATAAGTTCAGTAGTTACAGAAGCATGAGAAATGAAAGCCCACTGTCTCCAATATTATTTAATATTTTTAAGTGCTGCCAATAAAATCAAAAAGAATAGGATGCAGACAAAACTGCAGAAAAGATTCTTGAAGAGATAACCTTTACCCACTTAAACTCAATTCACATATAGTAGAAGAACCTGATATTAAACCCACAAGCATAAAAAAATCATTGTTGCATAATTATTTATTGCACTTTTAAAGGAATTTCTCCAAATTCTATGGCTACACATATACTTAGAAACAACTTTATTCTCCCTACTTCCAACAGAACTTCTTGATTACTAAGATGTGAGATTTCATGTTATTCTAAAAGTCTGTGATTCATAGGTTAGACTGGCAAGTGCAGGGGTGTGTGTGTGTGTGTGTGTGTGTGTGTGTGTGTCTGTGTGTGTATGTGTCTGCATGTACACATGTGTGAGGTGAAGAGAGATTTTTTTCTTCTTCATTTCTTATGTAACCTGAGTCACAGTCTTGATTTCACAAAATCATTAATGTTTCTTCTCTCACCATTAACAAAAACTTTATACTAAAAGTTAAATGTATGTATTTTTATGTTTGTGGTAATATTTTAACACAATCCCAATCAAAATTTCAGCAAGTTATGTTGAGGATGCTTGGCAAGGTGATTCTAAACTTTTTATTAGAACAGGCAAAAGACCCAGAACATTTGAAACAATATTGAAGAAGAAAATTGAATGACTAACACTACTCAACTTAGAGACTTACTACACAAAGCTACAGTAATCAAAATGACATGTGTGGTATTGGCAAAAGAACCGACATATCAACTGAACACAATAAAGAGCTCAGAAATAGACCCACATATATATAGTCAACTGATCTTTAACCGCGGAGCAAAGGCAATTCAACAGAGCATAAAAGATAGTCTTTTCAACAAATGAGACTAGAACAACTAGACAACCACAAACAAAATAATGACTTTAAATCTTTCACAAAAATTAAGTCAAAA